CGCGGAAAGTCAAGAAGCACATCACTCTCCTGTTCAAGGAAATCAATCAGACGGGATGGAGTCCCCTCGCCCTCCATAGTGCCATGTGTAAGAGTCGTTCGCTTCGAAAGATTCCATCATCAACCTCCACGTAGACTTTAGATCGTCGCCCGGTATTATATATCTATCTACAAAACATATGTAGTGGGAGAGGAAACTCTGCTCATCCTTCATCGTTGCTCAGTCTTCAGGAGGTTTGCGGATATCTTCAGGCGAATCGCGACCACACCAATCACCCAAGCGGAGGCAACTCGGAGCTTCAGCAAGGAAGGTATGCATGTCAAGTCATACTTGAGTCCGGAGATCCTTCTCGGTAGGATCGCGGTGGAGCCCACCTTTCTCTAGCCCTAGCCATACCTGGATGGACGTTTCGCGGCATTTTTTCCAGATATTTCTCCAGTGTTCTCTGCTTCCTAAGGCGGGTCATTTTTCCAGTGGCAATCTTCCGGGGTGCGATCGCGACGCTCAACGGCGGAGCTCGCAAAGCCGGGGAGCAATGGGTGGACTATCTCGAGGATACGCTCTCATCCGTAGTGAAATTCTTCACACATCGTGAAAGCGAACCTCCCGCCGGACCGTCAGGGGGACCAGCCGCGATAGAAGCCTCGTGAACGACAGCTCATTAAAAGCTTCCATTATTTCGCTTTTCTTCACTCTAAGCAGCGCTTCGGCATTCACTTCTATATCCAATCATCAGAATGAGCCTTATATCCGTGGGGCAATCTCGCCGAGGCGCATTTCCACTCGAGAGGGGTTCCAGCGCCGCGCCTTCGCCTCGATTCGCCGCATCGTTCCACGAAATCTCAGATTAGCGATGGAACTTCCCATCCTGGGGAATGAGTTTTCCTTCCCAAGCGGAGATCGCCCTCGAATTTTGTCGATGTATCGAGTCCGTAGGAAATAAAAACATACCTCATTCATGGCTGATTATCATCCTGAATCAGAGAAGGTCCAGCTCACTAATAAGCGGACTCAAACCAAGTCTCCAGCGGGGGGGGGGGGGCGTGCGGGTAAATGCGCCCCTTGCGATTGGTTAGAGTGTGCCTGTCCTCCATCGTGCATAATCGCGATTCCCGAAGAATCCAAGTCTCCGAATCATTCTTCCGAGGAGCAGGGCTCCCGATCAAGGCTCCCAGGAAGTTCTACTTCTTAGATCCCGGAGAAGAACAGAATAACTATTTCCTGCCGAATCCAACAGATCCTCGGTGAAATATTCGGCTTGATCTGAACATGAGTCACAAGAGCAGGGATGAATACCCGGTAGTGAATCATTTCGCACATCTTCGATTTCCCTTCCTCGAAAGAGGTTTCCTGCTCAGGGCCGATTTTATTGCTACCGGCGACGATTGTGAGGGGCATCTGCGGAATTCTGGCCGGAGGTCCCGCGTGACTATCGCGTCGTTGACGTCATCCTGGCCCAAACTCGTCGTACATGTGAACGTGCTTCAGAAGGCGTGCTGAGATTGGCGGACAAAACAACAACATTCACTGTTCCGAACGACCGCGATACATTATGTCGCACCAGGAGCAGGTCGATCGCGTCTTCCAGTTTCTCAACGCCGCGAAGGAGGGCCCTCTCGCAGAGAAGAGCTGCGAACTAGCACGGGTCGAAATCGAAGCCATCGGCCAGTTCGAGAAGGAAGTCTTCGAGCTTTGTTGTGAGCTATTGAAAGCCGCCTTGCACAAGAAGTCAAGGAAACCCGTGAGTGACTTGCCTGCCGAATCTGCGGCCCAATCCACCACTTCATCTACTGTACCGCAATCGGAGTCGGGTGGCATTGCTCCGGTTCGTGAAGCGGGAACTACGCTCAATCTCCCACAGAATTCGGGCAGGAGAGTCCGAGTCTCACAGACTGAACGCCGCAGTTTCTTCGTCCATCGTGAAATGCTGCAAGCATTGGAAGATACCTCCTCGGGGAGTGAGATCGAGCAACCCAGGAAGGACGTAGCTGCACAGAAAGCCGAGAGTGGAACCGCAAGCTCTGCTTCAGATATCCCCATCAAACCCAGATCCAAAGCGCTGTGGAAACGTCGACCTAGGTCGTCTGCTTGTACGGGCTATCCGAATCGGAAAGTGGGTACCGAGAAGGTTCGGATTTTCCGTGATCCGCCCGCGAAGGAAGAAACGTTCTCAGACGGAGGTTCACTCACAAGTGACGACGACGACGAGGAGGAGGAGGAGGAGGAGGAGGAGGAGGAGGAGGAGGAGAAGGAGAAGGAAGAGGAAGGGGAAGAGGAGGAGGAAGAGGAGGAGGAAGAGGAGGGGAAGAGGATGAGGGAGAGGAGGAGGAGGAGGATGACGAGGAACCGCAATACATCCCCGCGGAGCAAATACGAGCTCAGATCGACGCCGTCAAAAGTCATGAGAACGTCAGGGACGTCGCGCTCTCCAAGTGGCCCAGGGAAGCTTACCAAATGACGAAATTCATAATGAACAATGCAATTGCCAAGAAAACCGTCCGTGTCTTGATCCTCGGAGATGGCGATCAAGCAGACGAGGATTTTTTCGACCGCGTCAAACACAGCCTGCCCGATGAGCGCCTCGTGAACGACCTCGCACCGGGAGATGCCATTTCCATCACGAGTGCATACCCAACGCCCAAGATCGACAATACCAAGGCCGTGAAGCTCAATAAGTCGTCGGAGTATCTGATCTTGGCGAAATTGGCGCGGCAGGGCGATATCCTCCTCGAAACTTGTGAGATGTTGGCATATTGCCGCAAAGTCCTGCAGAGGGCCATCTCCGAAGACGACAAAACGACCCAAGAAAATCCCATGGTCGTGAGCATACACTTCCCGAACGCTTTGAACGCTCATATCGGCAGAAAGCTCGCAGAGTGTATCTGGAACAAACTCCCTGTCAGAGCAGAGATCTGTGTGCCGCCAGCGGAGGGCCGTGAAAACGCCGCCAGGTCAAAATTATGCTACATGACGATAAGAGCCGCAGCTCATAATAATGTAAAGTTCGAGCGGATTTATCGAGATCTCAAGCTGCATGTCAAACCTAGCGAGCACGGTATCGAGGTTCACAAGGTTGTTCTCAAGGAAAATGGTGACATCCGGCTGCGAATGAAAGAGATCAAGAAACGAGGCAGAGAGTCGTATGCCGCGAGCGTCCGGTCGAAGCTGGGAATGTACAGTTATTTCCAGTAGGATATCGCGATAATTCTCTAAGGACGACTCGTATTTCTGACGGCAGGAGGAAAATCAGGACCATTCTAAACTAATTATCTTGTGGCCGGAAAGTGATGATGTTAATCCCGATTATTTGTGTAGGTATTTTAGGAATGACATCTGACTGTCTTGAAAAGTGCATTGTAGATGCACACGCAGGACGATAGGAAGCTCAATAAAATTAAGTTGACCACAGAATTCACAATTTTCCTTTTCCGTCATTGTCCCAGGGCGTCAAGGTGGCAGCAAGCTCGGTTCGATAGAATCGGAAAGTCCTTATGCTCCCGGGTCCTATGATTCGTCTCGGATTCTCTCGAGAGCATCCGTCCGTGGATAATGACCAGATCTTCCCCCCAGCCATTCATCGTTCAAGGAATGAGCCGTGTTGAACGCATGATCCGTCCAAAACCGAATGTTTCCTCTGTTCGGCATGCGGCTCTCGGTCCTACGATCTTGCTCGGGTGACCGATTCCCGTGAGCTCTCAGCGACGATTTTGACACCGGTGTTGAGATCGAAAGCAGCCAGACGATCGTGCCATTCTCTCGTTCTTGCAGCGTACGACAGACCGATCGGATTTGGACGGTATCGAGTCATCGTTTCTTGGGCGATCTCGACCCGAGGCTCGAATCGGTGAATCAATATTGAAGCCAGGAGAGGAGTGATTCTTTCCGTTGTTCCCCCAGTGGGAAATACTGTTTGTCGTCAATTACTGTTGATCAACCATCGAGTATCAAAGGCCGTAGTCATGAATTATATTTTTCATTGAATCGACCGACAATGGAAGAAGAATGGGCGTCGTTCGCTCGGACGCATCCTCGTATGATGCGTACCATGTTCGAGGCCTGCTCTTGATCCTAATGACACATAGAATTAAGACACATAGAATCGTATGAGCTCCCCTTATACAGTGATAGATGGCAGTTCTAGGGAGTGAGCCGCAGTGGAAGAGCTTCCCGGCACCGATCACGGCCCTCTGGGCTCGGAGCCTCTATTGACTGTTGATTGCAACCGTCCTGCTTGCTGATTTCAGTCCATACGAGTCCTTTTGTAGGGATCAATCGGATGAGTTGTAGGAGATCCGAAACCTAGCCACTCCGTAAAGCGACACATCCACCGTACGGAGGGAAGCGTACGTCCCGCATGTAGATCGTGCTGAGCACGTACCACCTCTCTTCATCTTCTGAGTATCTCAGCTATTCGGACACCACTGAGCTCAAACTCTCATCTGATAGGCTCGCTGTGTTCCACGAAGGAGGGCGGGATCTTCGATCATCTCCCCGTTCTGAAGCATCCAGATCGAATATCGCTCGGGAAATTTGAGGAGTCCGATCGGAACGCGGAACACAGTCAAAAATTTCAACATCAGAAGTGCCGGTCGATTTCTGCTCCGCTCTCCACGTTGTGCCTCGGTGACGTTCAGCCAGAATGGATCCGATGTCAACAATCGAATTCGAACGATTTTGTTCTGCGATCATCTGATTTTACGATGTCCTTCGACAGTTAAGTAGAAAAGTGAATTTTCGCCGCCCAGGAAGCATGTGGAGTACGTCTCAGAGCGCGTCGGGGACGATGACTCCCTCGTCTTCGAGAACCCCACCGACCACGACCACAAGAACAACCACAACCACGACTACATCGAACCCTCCAGGCGAGAACACGGAACACATGGTAGTGTCGGTCGTGTATTCCAACGGAGTGATCGGCGCTTCCTACTACACCCAAGCCTTCCTCGACGTCCGAATGACACCTCAGCTCCCGGATCAGGGGTGTAATCTTCAACAGCTCCAATTGCTCCTGCAGAAATTACAACCGAGCACGATAATCATCAGCCGTACCGCGCACCGCGATTTGGCGAATTCGGTGAATGCTTTTGTCGCTCTGCACAGGAGCTCGAGAGTCGAGAAGGTTCCACCGCAGCAGATGCAATTAGGGATCGCGAAGCAGGAGCTAATGAGTTCGAACATCCAAGGTCGGCCAGGAACGCCGTTCTCGGATTGCAGCGAAGACGACAAACTCATCTTCCTGAACAGCATCCTGGACTTCAGTCAAGAAATATCCCTGAGGAGCATGGGTGCCCTACTCCAACACGTGAAGTCTCATTTTCAGAATAGCGACGCCGTAGTCATAGCCACTTTGGGCATGCACAGGGGTTGCGGTCATCTCTCCGTCCCGAGCCGAACCTTGCGCGACCTGCACATCCTGGCCGAGGAAGCGCATCCTTGTGCTTGGCAAGGCGACTCGCGCCGAGCCAGAGAGGGGATCAGCGTATATTCGTTGTTCGAGAGAAACTGTAGCATTGGACGCGTTCGATTGAAATCTCTCTTTTGCGCACCGTACAACGACGTGCGTCAGATCGAGCAAAGTTTGAGCTCGATCGAATATCTCTTGGACCAGGAATGTTTAGCGAAATCGCTGCATCAGAATCTCGCGAGAATCAAGCGGATTGACCGCATTCTCGTAAACATGTGTCAAGGACAAACCACTGTTCCGGAATGGCAGGTCCTCCGAGACACGTGTCACCATCTCCTGGTCGTCCAGGGCCTGCTGTCAGCCGCGCCGAACTCGTCGTTGTGTGGCGCGATCGAGCGCGCTCGTGAAGCTTCCTATAGAGATACCAGTAGTATTCTTCATATGATCGAACGGACGATAGATTTCGAAGCTTTCAAAGAAAACCCATCGTACACGAGTCCCGTGAAAGCGGGGATCTGCGATTACCTGGATGAGAAGAAGAAACAGCTCTTCGGAAATATTCACAAAAGACTCACGGAACTCACTCTGACGGAGATGACGAACCTGCCAGCCGATGTTTCAGATGGTCGGATAATTTATTTACCTTGTTGGGGATTTGTGTTCGCCACCCGCTTGGAGAATGTTGGGACGATGCGTCAGCTACAAAGTGTCGAGCATGTTTGCAAGATGGATACCGAGGCGTTTTTCAAAACCTCGATCACTAGAGATTTGGACAAGCAGTACGGGGATCTGCGTAATATAATCATTCACCGAGAAAACCGCATATGCAGAACTTTACAGATCGAGGTCATTGAAAGATCGTGGCAGCTTTTGAAGATCATAGATAAACTGTGTCACCTCGACGCGGTTCTAGCATTGGCGATTACGGCTCGTGAGAGAGGATTCAAGAGACCAAAAATCATACCACGCAATAGAATCATCGTAAAAAACGGATACCATCCCTTACTGGAATTTCACAAAGCGCCCGGAGCGAGTCACATCATTCCCAATTCATACCTTTCAACCGAGAGTGTTCCTGTAAACATAGTGACCGGAGCTAATTCGTGCGGCAAGTCTGTTTACTTGAGACAGAATGCGCTCATTGTATACTTGGCTCATGTAGGATCGTTCGTTCCTGCTGAAGATTCGAGAATATGTTTATTGGATACCATTCAGACATCTTTTTTCATCGACGAAACAATGCGCGATCAGGCCTCCTCTTTTGCTTTGCAATGTCGTCAGATCGCTTCAGTCGAAAGAAGCGTCGAATCCGTCCGGGCTCTGGTTGTGATCGATGAGTTCGGCAAGGGAACTAACACGGCCGAAGGAGCTGCTCTCTGTGTAGCACTCGTTGAAAAATTCATGGAATGGTCGAATAGTCCTCATGTGATCTTAGCTTCTCATTACTACAAACATCTCTACTACTTTCTGAAGCATCGCCCGAAAGTGGAGTTCCTAACGTTTCGTTATGTCATCGAGGGGAACAATCTTGTCCAATTGCATCGAGTCGTTGATGGAGTATCCGTTAAAAGTTTCGGCAGTTTCGCCGCGAGAGAGGCCGATCTACCGCAAGAGGTTATAGCTACGCAAGAGAGAATTTCAGCATTCGGTTTGGACAATGTTGGTGACTCCGGATCTTCGACCTACGAATGCGATCGAGATTTCCACAACTTCGCACTCCAGGCTCTCGACGAAGTGAGACTCGCCATCCGAGACGGAAGATTTTAAAACCAGTAGCGAAGTAGGAGGATTCGCCTTCCGGGGGAGTCTTGCTCATAAGCGTCTAGGACAGGTTTCAGACGATTGAATTCCCAATGAATAAATAGGGCGATCATTTGTGGAGACTCTTCATGGCGTTCGTTCTCATCCTTATGATAGTAATAAGTACTCCGACTCTAATCCTGGCTGCTGCGCTGGGATCCTGTGAGATTCATTGTCTCCCAAAGACTCAGTCCAAGCGTGCGGATTTGCGTAAGTACATTCGCTCCCGGGATCCGACCTTTGAGCCTATGCCTGATCGGAATCGGTGGGACCCACGACATTGAAGTTTCGCTGCCTGAGCCGGCTCGGGTATACGAGTCGTGGTGGGGTTCTACATACGTGAGAATCCTCTGTGACAGAGGAACGTTCCGATTCATATGCGCTCTCCGTTTGGAGGGCATCTGTCGGGTAGATGGACGGGCTCTTCCACCCTCGAGGCTCCCGACTACCTAAACTCACCACGTGGCAGCAGAAGCCAAAGAACTTTCTCGGGCTGATCCACCCAGCCAAGGTTTAACGTCCCGGGTACTGTTATTCACATTGCTTCCGAGGACGGATCCATAGAGCAAATGTACCCAGGAGGATCAAGGCCGAGTACCTGCATATTTTTCCGGCAGCAGGGATCGAACCCACACCGCCTTCCGCGCAGAAGCCAGGCATCCATGGGCTCACCCCTCGTTGCATCGACCGTCCCCTCGGAGGATTCCTGAATACGCTGTTGTCCCGAAATCAGTCTAGCTCTCGGCAGCGATCTTCGGTGCAGCTGCTTTGGTAATCGCTCTCCACGACATGAAGGGTGGGTAAATCCGGCGCGCTCGGACTTGCTCATCGCATTCCCGTTTCAGCCTCTGACGGATCAGCGGGCAAGACGTACATGGCCGTCTCCGGAGGGAAACAGGGACTCGCTGGCCCGCAGCTCGATGCAGATATAGGTACTCATCTCAGATACTCAAACCAGAACGCGATATCGCCTCGCGAGACTTATGGTCACTTCGAGGTCGACTCACGCGTAGTCGAGATCGAGGATCTCCATTCATTCTGTCGAAATATCGGTTGCCCAAGAAGGGGGAGAAATGATTTAAGTCCACGGAGGGGGGGCACCTGCATTTATCGGAAGCGGGGGAAGGTTCCAAAAGAAGGTCGTCGGAGGTGAGCGGCTCCATGTTCGGAGATACCAATCGAGGACGTGGATCGCCGAATACTCCATTGCACCTTTTTGGGAGCCCTGAGATTAGAAAGAGTTCTGGGCATTGAGTCAACGATCAGTGGCGGACCTCGGGGGGGGGGAGGGGCAGTCGACGGACGAGTAGTGACCTCCGGAGAGACCTGGCCGCGCTCGGAAGTCCAAATATCAGCAGAATCGAAGAAACCCGGACACTCGCTTGCCTGAGCAGAAATTCTCCGCTCGGGATACATTCTAGCAAATGTGGACCTAACCTAGTTAACAGCGAAATTCATTCATTCATTCATTCGGAATTCATACGTGATCGTGTCTAGAAGAGGATTAACGCTATCTCCATCGCCGTCGTCAGATCTCGGGGCACTCATGAATCTCGACGATGATTTTCATCGAATCTTCCCCCCAATCTGTTGGATTTTATTTATCTATCGATGTCTCTCGCTTGTGGTATGAGCCTCGAGGCTATTCGTCGCGGGGGTCTTCCGTGAGGTGATGAGTGATGAGCACATCGAATCAAGACGATTTCTTCCAGTGGTACTGACCGCTTCGAGAATCATTTCCGACAAATCTCAACACAAAGCCTTCGATCTCCTCCATGCGGGCACATCCCCGGAGCTGGCCTCCGAACTGGGTCTTCAGATGTCATTGAATTCCAGTCGAAAAAGCCAAGGCCAGCAGCGCCTACAACACTACTGTGTTATGGGACGTGGAAACGGCTTGTTTCTCTCCCGTCGGATTCTCTAGTCTAAATATTAGTATTGAAATAGCATTTATGTCGCACTTCAATCGATTTCTCAGTGATTTCATTTGGTTTCTTCCTCCGGCAGCGGTTCATCTTCCGGATTTTCTTTCGGCAGGACTTTCTTTCCAGAAGTTCCCCGAACTCACATCTTGAACCATCTGTTTTCCATCTCGGTGAGCTCAATGCTGTCGCCGAGAGATTCGAACCCTATTAGAAATTAATCGAAACATTTGAAGCAAATGTGGCCATCGGATCGCAATCTTGAGGGTCAAGAATGCTGTAGGGTTTCCGAGCTGACGTATCATCGCAAACCTTCCTTTCCCTCCTCCCCCTTCCTCTCCTCCCCTAACGATCCTTTCTCCTCGATGACCAATACTGCATCGAGCTGGGGATAGTTTTCATGATGCTTGATTTGTCTCCACCAAATGTTACACGAATTATTGTCGTTCTTCTATCATGGATTGTGACGGTCGTGCTGTAGTTCGTAGACAACGATATATATATTCTGAATGCCATCACGAATCCGGAAAAGGAGAATTTTCAACGCCATGGAAAACACATGCTGGGGGTTAACGCCTCGTCGATCAGATCTTCTTATTTCTGACGTACACGTAGTGTAAGATGTTGCACTGACCCCATCCTTAATTTTTCGTTCCACCCCGAAGTGTTTCGCAGGGAACGGAAGTTTTCCTGCGAATGTGTCAAAAAGAATGCACTCGGGTGTTTCGTGCTGGCTTGGAGCAATATCCAATGTAAGCAGAGATCCTCATTCCATAACATTGTTTGCTGTCGTAAATTGATCAACTCTGATTCCGGCGCATCATCGGTGCAAATAGACTCAACATGATCGGATCCGTCATCCCGCCTATCGCAATTTGACGACAACTCACCAATCACTTCAGAGCAATTGACCCTTACACCATAATATTTGTTCAAAGGCTGCTCAACAAGATATCGCAGCCAGGCTTCCACGGTGGACTTTTTGACGAAGCCGCTCAGAAAAGAGGATTCAAGGATGTTGTTTTTCTCAAACTTTACTTCGAAAGAATAATCGTCGTCCCATGATCGCGGTAAGCACTGTATTATCGAGTTGAAATCGACAAGGACATTAATGACTCGACCGACAATGCCGTGACAACCGTCACGACGCAAACGGCGTATTTGCATGTAAGGAATCCTTTGAGAGACAAGTCGCTCGCTTATGGGGTCCAGCTTAGGCAAGCCTGATGGAATGGATACCTATAGCCATTCATCATCCTCATCGGCGGAACTCTGTCGCGCCGAGACGTGTTGTAACCTGAGGAACAGAGCCGACATCGTGTGGCGTCGTCCTCCGGGAAACGAGTGGATAGGAAGTTCGCCATCGAGGGGGTTACCGTTTTCAGATTACGGAGGAACCAGAGGCGATTACAGACGTCGCATGGCCAGGATTACTCCCGTTCTGCACGACACTCCCGTTGCTGTTAACTACGAGTCTTTGGCCTCATGATGAGCATTCGGTTGTCATCGCCATTCGTAATCGCTCGCAATCGTACTAATTTGGTGTGGAAATCCCGCCCCCTATCCCCGTAGCCCCACTCGTCAGAACGCTTCTGCAGCCATCATATTTTGGTACAAGCCTGATGCTCAAAGCGGTGCATTCCCGGGTTCTGATCGTGAGGACAAACGCGGTAGGAAAAGAGAGCCCGTCGGTGATTTCGACGGTCAATTCCTCTCTGACTATGCTTATGTCACTCGGTCAGAACTCAGTACCTTGAGTCGAAATCATCGATGCGACTGACACGATTCATGCTTATCTACCGACGTTCATCGTACCAGCATACTGCGTCCGCTGAATTTTATTGAAAGCGGAAATTCATGCCCTTTTCCACAGAGTTTCGTGGGGTTTCTGGATCGTGATGGGAATATATAGAGGAGCCTTCTGATTTTTATGGTTTCCAGCCACGATCGTCTCCCGTGACCTCACGATCATCAGACATCAATTAGGTGAAAATCCGTCGAGTCTTGATGATTTCAAACCAGAGCTGTGCGCCGCGCTGAGCATTGCGAGTCCCATTGACTCAATGCCTAAGCGCCATGGCGCCGCGGCGCTCGAGTATTGAGTCTATGGCGCCGGGCGCTACGTCCTGGAGCCGGCGCACAGCACTGGTTCTCACCCCGCTAAATCTTACAAAAAACGCTGCATGATGACGAGGTTTTTCTCGAACTTCGCGGAAGACTCGGTTTGGAGCAGCTGCAAGTAGACCTCTGGCGCGGGCCTGATGGGAGCATTGTGAGAGTTCCAGCGCCGGGCTTAGCTGTCATGATTTCAGAATTTCAATCTATAATTCCATTACGGTAAACATGTGTTGGCACGTGGGAGACGTTGAACAGTAACAGCATGACGCATGGAACCACGGCGAAATCCGTCGGGCCCGGAGTGAGCCCATTACAATAGTCAAAGGAATCATTGTATACCTGGGGTACGCATGATCCTGACAAGTGAACCATCGTCGGTCACAGGAGGTGTGATCAACTGATGAGGAGATTTTCCGGGATGAACAGCACTACGGCGGAGATAGTCGACCGCAATCCTCTCCAACACGGATCGCGGACTCCTTCGACCACGATTACGAAATTTCGTTACCGCGTTTGCCCCTGCTACTTGAAACTCATGCGCTCTATTTTTGATCTCCAGAGTGTGATTTTAAGCGCCCAGGCTGACAATCAGCGGACGAATGTGGCCTCCGCAGCTGCATCAAAATTCTAGCTGGCGGAGGTTCTTAGTCGTTCAAGTTCGGAAGTTTACATGGAGAGCCACGTGCCAACGGGCCGCTCGTGGATGTCGGGAACTGCTGGTCAATCATCATGAGAAAGAGCTTGTGTACTCATAGGAAAGCCGGAGAACGACCCAGCTTATGATAAGTTGTGCATCGATTGGGATAGACTCGGCACGTCACGTCGGCGCGCCGGAGGAGGGGAAAGCAAATTAACCGTCATGAGCTAGACTCTCGCTCTTTGGCGGAGTGCGATGAATGAGAAGAAGACGAGAAGATGCTCGGGAAA